TTAGTCCTTTTGCTCAATATTTTGAACATTTCCATTTTTTTCTTTTTGTAGAGTTTTTGAGCTTCTTCTCTCTCTTGTTTTCTCCTCTCGAATTCCTGAAATCATTAATATATGTAGCTTGCATTAATCATGAACAGTAGATTCATTTGAAAACCTGTTTTGAAATAGCTATATATACCATGAGCTTTTTAGTTTTTCTATTTTACAAAATGTGAGTAGTTTCCCAAATCTGAGTGTACCGTTTCCCTCACATTATACTATACAGTGCATAACACTGAAAAATAGAAATTGTATAATTTTATAAACTTATATACAAATAACATTAGATCAAAGAAAGTAGAAAAAAATCTATATAATGGTGCTATTTAATTAAATCCACTAAGTGTTCACAGGGACTTTTAGAAGCTAACTAATCTAATTTTCTACATAACACTAAAAACTTGATTTCCAGAAACCTACATCTAGTATTCTCTTATCCTCTGAATCACAGAGTAAACAAACATTTATAGACTACTTACTAGATATGACCAAAATATTCTTCTAGACAATGGATTCTGACCATTTAAAACATCACACTCATTTAACTTAAGATAAAGATTCAACTTGGAGTATAAAGAAATAGAACTCAAGGCTTACAATACTAAAACCACTTTTCATAATGCATTATACATAATTCTTATTAAATTAAATATATAAGTTGAAAAAGCTATAAAGTATTGCAAGACTGTTTTTCAAACCTGCCTATAGCCCCCAAACAACACTAGTCAAAATATAAGTCTTTATAATCAAAAATGTTTTCACCCAAATCATATATAAAATCACAGGATATTTGATTCATTAAAAACTTTATGCTAGTTTAGTAGAAGATGTTGAGCTTGGTGAAACAAAAAGTAATTTGCTCAAGATCACCAATAAATGAAATGGTAGGGCTGAGTCACACATTGAGAATTTTAAGTCCCCATCATATTCAATTGTATTACTTAAAATTATATTCTCTTGGTATAGTATTTCACTTATCTTAAAAAACAGAAAAACCTAAAACTCATTTATGCATGTTGGTATATGGAACACAATTTACCCCAAAAAGTTTCTCTAAACAAACTCAACTTCTAAAAATATTCTTACCAACAATTTTGGGTCTGTATTTACTACTCTTTAAAACTCTTGATTTCTCATCTACAATGGTGTTGGCTTTTATATTAATATTTAAGATCTACAAGGTCTAAGAAACTGTTCATTTTCATGATTTTAAAAGGATATGAAATGTTTATTAGTATAACAGTCCCTATTGCACTTCACGATACACTGATGGACAGCATAAAAGGTGGTTAGAAAGTTTTAATGTAACAAATATATAACCAAAACTCCAGTATTTTCATGGAGAAATATTTTTGTTTCATCTTAGTTGCCAGCAAATTTAGAACAATCGTAAAAATTTTAGCTGTCAGTCTAGGGAGATAGCTCAGCGGCAGCGGCATAAGTGCCTGCCTGGCAAGTGCAAGATCCTAAGTTTGATCTCAGATACCAGTAAAAAAAAAAAAAAAAAAAAAAAAATTTAGATGCCAAACTTAGTTTTCTCAACTGCAGATATTCTAAAGCACAAACACAAAGGAAGGTGTTTGTAATTGCTAAGTGATTAATCAAACATTAATATAAAAACACTATCCACACATTCTATTAGGTAAAAATTTTGTTGAGCTGCAAATATTTTTGATGCATTTGGAAACATCTGTTAATTCTGTTTTGAGTAATAAAGTGGCAACTTCCTGCTAAGTTAAACTCTTGTTTTTTGTTGTGAAGACCAACTCTTAATGTTGTATTTTAACATCACCCCTCTGGCTTTCACATGTTTCAAGGTAAACTTCTATTACCAGTGAGTAATCACTTTTAAATCCTATTGTTGACCTACTGGTATTACCTCTGATCATATAATCAAGAAATTAGAATGATGCAGATCTCCAACTCTGCTTAGAGAAATCATTCATTCAAGTGACCACTACATCCCCAACACCTAGAAGCACAACTTGTATAATACATTTAAGATAAATAGGAAGAAATGTACCTAAAAATTTTTAAAGTAGTACTTACTTGTTTCTTAGCAGCACGCTTAGCTTGTACCTGCTCATATTCTTCTTGTGCTTTTTGACTGGATGTTTTCTTTTTCTTTTTCTTGGGAACAGTGTTAGGACTTCATAAGATAAATTGAGACAAATAAGTCAAAAGTGTTAAAAATGACTTAGTCCAAATTCTGAAACAATGTGGTGTCAAATATAGTTGTATAGTGCAATTTCACAAATGCAAATTAAAGAGGAAACGATAGTCTTTATAGTCAAATGTCCAAGAAAAATATTAAAAACACAGTTGCAGCTTTTAAGATTACACATCAGCTACAAGGTGTGGTAAATGGAGATTCTGAAAGAATAATCAAGGAAAGCACACAAAGCTTTGAAAGACACTAAAGTGTTAAAGAATTTACTTATTTATTCTTTCTGTATTTAGGACAGGGTTTATAGGGTTTCACTACGTAAATTGGACTCGTAGTGATTCTCCTGTTTTCAGCCACCCAAGTGCTGGAATTACAGGTGCACATCACCACACATCACCTCAGCCTGCCCTGGGGGTGGAGCCGCACTTAAGGATTCCTTTTTTTTTTTGTTTGTTTGGCTGGCTTAGGCTACCTAAAGGGCGAGTCTGGTGCTGCAGGTGAAGCTAGGGATGTAACCACGGTGCCCTGTGCCCAGTGAGTTTGCCCAAGCAGGTGCTTTAAAGAACTGAATTAACCTGCAAACCTCCTAGTGTTAAAAAAAAAAAAAAAAAAAAAAAAAAAAAAAAGCACTAAACTGAAAGATCATAAGGAAGTTGTGGGTATAAACTTTAGTCTCAAAATTCTTCAAACACCTTGTCTGTATTTTACTTCATCTACTTAGCCTGAATCATTGCCACATTGGGCTCTTATCTCCATTTAGAAGCACTCTTTCCGAAGATGCTCGCCTTCCTTCTGCTAGGCTTCACTCAACAGCTTGGGGTTTCACTTATTTCCTCAAGATTTCTGGCTCAGTAATAATGTTCCTTTCCTTGTCTCTCAACTTCTCACTTTAACTACGACATATTTCTGTAGCTCCCTTGTTAAAGAAAGTGGGATCCATGTCCTCTTCTAATTGCTAATCTTGTTAACTTTTTACAGTAGACTTTCCAGAAAGGATAGTCCACGCTTGTAACTTTCCAATCAGTGTTAACTATTAATAATCTCTCCAAATGGCTGGCCAAATAGCTCAGTGGATTAAAGCGCCTACTTAGGCAGATGCAGGGGCCACAAGTTTGATTCCTAGGCCTGCCATGCCGGCCCCGCCCCCAGGGGCACAGGGAGACAGCGATTGAGACTCAGCATGGTAGCGCACGCCTGGAAGCCCAGCTCTTGCGAGGCTGTAAGCAGGCGGATCACTGAGACCATCTAGTACTGAGACCCTGAACACTGTAGATCCTTCCCTAAAATACTAAAAAAAATCTCTCCAAAGTCATCATTAACTGGCAGGACAACCCCAAAAATCTGTTCTCCAGCTTGCTTTCCCAACTTCGTATTATTCAGTAGTTGAACTGTCCCTACTCTCACAGTTTTCTTACGGTGAATTAGCCTTTGCTGCACTTCCCACATTCTCCAGTTCTGACAACTTCATTTAACTTCAATGACAATTTTTTTCTCCTAAAATAAAAATTTGTGAATTATGCATTTATCTTCTTGTGTCTTAATTTAAACAACTTCTCATTTCAATCATCACTAAAAATGACTCAAATATACATCTCATGTTTATCTTTTCCCTAAGCTTTACACACTATTACAGGGCAAAATTTGAGTGAAAAATTATGATCCCTAGTACTGCCTAGTTTCTCTACAAGTTCTGATGTTACCAAGTTTTTTTTTTTTTTTTTTTTTTTTCTGTATTTTAGGGAAGGATCTACAGGGTGTTCAGAATCTCACTACTAGATCGGACTCGTAGTGATTCTCCTGTTTACAGCCTCCCAAGAGCTGGAATTATAATCTGGCACGCCCCGGGGGCAGGACTCACATAGCAGGCCTGGGGAATGAACCCTGGTCCCTGCACCTGCTTGCAGGTGCTTTAATCTGCTGAGCTATTTGACTGGCCCTTTACCAAGTTTTCACCTGCTATCGGCACAGAAAGTTTTCTAAGTTAACATTTATAAAACTAAGTCTTTTAGTTTTATAAACTAAATACATGGAGCTGAGACTTTTTTTTTTTTTTAAACTTTAACCCATTTCTTGTCCTATGCAGAAAATCCAGATTTGTAACATGAGAAGTAACACTGAGAACCACTCATCATGTATTACTCACCTTTTAAATTCCTGATGTAAATTAACTTGCCACAATGTCACAAAAGGCTTTAAGAACACCACTCACCAGAGTGAATGATCCACTGTGGTGCTTGGGAGCATGGGAGTGCTCAACTACATACTCATTATCCTTATACCCCAACATGTTAAGTCCAAGCTGTTAAGGACTATTCTCTTAACACTTCTCAAAAATTATTTTTTAAAACATTAATGACAGAAGTTAACAGTAATATAAGATATATATTGCATAGGCAGAATCTAAAACTAAGATCTTTAAATTCTCATTCCATATGTTAAACTGACCTAATTTACTGAAAGTTAAAGATTCCATGAAAACTTATGTTGAGATATCTCAATTCCTAACAAACTATACTATGTTATCTTTCATAAAACGTTACATATATTTGAAGCAAAAGTCTATAAAAGAAAGCATATACCTCACTGCGTTGCTACACCATTTCTCCGGCTGAGGCAGATGATCCTGGTCTTCACACAAAACTCCATCAACTGTACACTGTTCTTCAAGAAAAGGCTGATTAACTTTTTCTTCTGACAAAGGCTGGTCGGCTTTTTTTAGTTGCTTCTTGAGTCTTTCCTCTTCAGCTAAATAGAGATGTTTCAAGTGATCTGGGTACTGATCTGAGAATTGGGATTCCCGTGATGTTCTAGTCTTGTTTTCCTTCCAGAGCAATTTCTTGTAATTTTGCTGAATCTTCAATTTTCTCCGAAAGGCAAAGCCTTGTCCTACATTGAAGAAATAAAAATTACCATAACAATATAAACAAAGCAAAAAATAAGGCTAATTAAAAAACTCATTCCACAGTCTCAATTCAAATGCTACAAGTGTTTTATTTTGTTTTTAAGGATTTGGTCAGGAAACAAATTTAAGCTGACAGATCAAACAGCAAGTAGGTCCTTTACAAAAAAAGGCTAGACTTAGTCAACAGACATCCTCTGTACTTAATAGAAAAAAAAAAAAAATCCTTATTTCATCTCAGAGTAATTTCCTACAAAACTTAGAAAATATCTAACAAAGACAGGGCGCGACTCTACGCAGTCAGCAACTATCCTCGGAGTGAACTTAGAACGTGGTCACACCTTTCGAAAAGGGGCCAGAGAGCCCTCACAGACAGCAAAGTCCAGGCAAGGAAAGAGAGACGACGGGCTCTGGGCCTTTCCAGCCCACCCCGCACAGGCACTCAGCACACCAACGACCCGCACACGCGCTCCATGGTTACACCGGGGCAAGCCATCCTCAAAAGGGGGCTGCAGCGGGGAAGACGTCTAAAGAACGAAGGGAGCAGCACTGTCCGTCTTCCCAACCAGAGAAGCTGGGGAACAGCGTCCTCTGCCGCAACCCCGGACCCGATCTGGCTCCCAACGCCTTTACACAGCTTCTGCAGGTCACACGTCCCAGGGCTTCACAGGCCTGAGGACTTAACTGACGGACTTCTTACCCTCGCGAACGCTTCCCGCGAAGGCCTGTGCATGGTTAGGCCGCCAGGTCCTCCGTTTCCCATTCTTATTCTTCAAGCCGACCAAAGAAACCTCTTCACCTCGCGTCCCCAGACCTCTAGTTTGCCACCTCGCCGCCGGGCTCACTGGCGCCATCTTGCATTTACTGCCCGGGCAGATGAACCCACGGACGCCGCCAAAATACGTCATCAGGCTGAAGCAATAGATCACCCAACTAAAGTCCAGCTCGGAGCTCTACTTGAGGTGCCTGTCCTACCTCCGACAGTGCCGTCGCCGCGCCGCCACGTTTGCGCCACCTACTGCCCTGGAGGGTGAGCGTCATGGCTGCTTTTTACCCTCTCCCGGTGACGCAGGACCTGCCCACGCTGCGCACCAAGTTGCAGGGTCTGCTGCGATTCCTGAGGGATGCCCTGTCCATTTCCAACGCTCATACAGTGGACTTCTACACAGAGTCCGTGTGGGAGAGGCTGGTGGACCTGTCTCCGGAGACTGTGCTGGCCGCGCTGAAGCCGGCGGCGCGGGCAGAGGCTGAGGCCGAGGCCAGGTTTTCTGAGGCGCGCCCCTTGCTGGGAGCAGAGGCGGGATCAGGTGAATGGCGGCCATACGGGCAAGGAAGGCAAGCCGACAGTCTCGGACTGTCCATTGTGCCCCCTAGTGGGAGCCGACCGGAACCGCATGAGCGGCGGGCGGAAGCGGGGCGGAAGCGGGGCGGAAGCGGGGCGGAAGCGGGGCGGAAGCGGGGCGGAAGCGGGGCGGAAGCGGGGCGGAAGCGGGGCGGTGATCGCTGGTAATGGGGCCTTAGTAGGGGCGGGGTGCGCCCACTCCTCAGAGTGCTGGTGTGTTTTCACAATTTAAAGAAAAAAGCAGTTGTATCATATTTTGACTTGAGGGAAAGTAGAGGAAGAGGTTCCCCTCGAGCTTTATAGGTTTGTAATAGGTATGTGGCCGAAGGTAAACCTACAGTTAATGAAACCGTTTCACAAAGTGGTAGTGGGCAAGTAAAAATGAAAACATGTAAGGGATCACGATTATACGTATAAGGATGCGGCCTAAAATTGGAAGGGCTGGGACAGGAGAAGGCAGAGATCCAGGTAGATTTCGAGGCTTGCGAGCCTCCGACTTGAATTGGCAAAAGCCAAGCGAGGAGCAGAGACAGGGCAGTCGGAGACCAGGGGGCGCAGAGCCCGCGGAGCTCTCGGCCTTCCAAGGAGTTTGGATTCCGGGTGTGCTGAGGTACTGTTGGTTCCTTGAGCGCCATGAGTGAGCTACTGTGCATTTGGGAAGAGATAACAGTTATTTGGATACCTGTGGTACCTTAGAGGAACCTGCTAAGAGACCAATGAAGAGATAGCACAGGAAGGTGAAGATTCTATCCAGGGTTAGCGAAGCAGTGAATGCTCGCATATTCAGTAACAGTTCATTTTTAAAACTATTTATAAAATAGGTGTCCTGTGCCATGAATTTTTGTAGGTTCTGAGGTTTCCTGCCCTAAGACACTTAGATTCTACCAAGATTTGTGAACAGAATGACCAGAAGACACCAACAGCCCTGAGCACTTTTCTTAGCTTGCTTTTAGGCTTTCCAGACGTGACCCTTAGTAGCTTCATTCGTGGAGATTTCTGCAAATACAAAGCACCGCTGGAGAGACCGTGTTTAATAGAACATTTCGGCACCTCTTCAGTTTGCTTTTATAGTACCTTGTACTTGTGTTAACATGATAACTTTACCCAAACTCGTGAAGAGCAGAAACCATGTTTGTCTTGTCAACTGATACTAGGCATGCGTTAAGTACTTAAGACATATTTGGTTTTTAAAACTTTTTACTTTAATGAGAGAAATAGCAATGAGACAGTTTCAAAACAGGTTAGTAGGACAGTTATGATAATTAATACAAAGAAATATTTGTTGAATAAATGTTCTTGTTAGCTTTCAAAAGGCAAGGGAAAAAATAGTAACATTAAATAATTAAAAGTTCAAGATTTTCACGTGGATTTAACCTGATATCCATACAGTGGGAGAATTAGACTGTGTTATATATTATAATAATTAGATTCATTATTATTGCATATTCTGCAGTGTGATGGGTTTTTATGAATATTTTGTTTTAGTCTTCACATCAGCCATGTTACTTTCAAGTTATAAAACTGCAATTTATTTCACTTGCCAGAGAAACCTTTAAACCCGACTCATTTGGCTCTCATGCCCATGAGAAGTCTACTCTTAATTATTTAGCAGTCAATTACTAAGTTCATTTATTAAGATCATTATTTAAATGTAATAATACTAACCCTTGATTATTTTACATTGTCTCTTTGCCCTTCAAGAATGTGAGACTGTTTTGTTCACTGCTTTATCTCTTAATGCCTAGAACAATGACTAGTCAGAAGGTTAATAGGTATTCTGTTGATCTTAAATGAGTGAATGAATTTGTTCTCTTAAACTTAGAATAAGTGCAAACATCTTTTGGGGAAGGGTCTTTCCAACAGCAATGGAATTTAAACTAGATTATTGTTAATGTTTGAATGTTTCTAGATCTAAAAATTGTTATACAAAATATTCTACTATACAAATGTTTAGCTGTTGCTGTTATTAAAAAGAAAATGCATTCTTATACCTCTGTGTAAGACATCTTAATTTTTGTTTATAGAAAGATAGCAGTTTTCCCCATCACTTTGTGAGGTCCTTTTATTTGTGTTGGAGATCATTGAAATCTTTTTACTAGATTTGTGTCTTATTAAAGCATTGTTTACTATAGACAGTATGAGTTAGCAGATAGTTTGTAAAGTGTGAAATCAGAGTTCAAATTTCCATTCTACTTTATATCAAGTCTGTGCTTTTGGGGGAAATTTGTTTTCCATTCAGCATTTATCAAGTACTAAATGTGTGCCAGGATTTTTTCTGGAAGTTAGGGAACAAGCAGTAAACAAAACAAAAACCTTTCCTTCATCCTGCTTGTATGCTAGGAGGAGGAGGAAATACCCCTTCACCAAAAAAATGTTTTCAGCAACTATGGATAAAAACAGATAAGGAAGGAGTAAATAAAAAGAGGTAAAAGAAGAGAATATGCTCTGTTTTATGTAGGTTGTTCTGGCAAGACTTAATTGAAGTTGCCCTTGAAAAAAAGACTTGAGTAAAGAAAAAAAGTGAGCCATGATAATAACTGGAGGAAGAAAATTCCAGGTTGTGTGAATAGGGAGTACAAATGCACTGCAGCAGGAGAATACACAGTGTGTTTATGGAGAAACAGGAAACAGTGAACACAAATAGAAATATTGAGTACTGCTCGTGCCCCCCCCCCAGTCATCCTTCTACCTAGATTTTAAAAATTAGGTTAGATGTTTTGTTTGTAGAGCATAAATTATTGCTACTGTGAATCAGTAAAGAACACAAATGATAAAAATGAATTTAAACCTGCTGCAGTTTGAGAGGAAGGGATAGGCAGTCCTTGAGCATCTCTTGTACAACCTCAGCAGAGTCAGTATTCTTCAGAATTTGTTGTGGTCATTAATTGAGCTAAGAACAAACAGGTCAGACATATCTAAGCTTTCCAACCAAGGTACATGGCTGTTTTTATGATCAGTTTGATTTTTGCAAAAACTACTTGGTGTTTTCTCTGTAGAGCTGTGAGCTAGGTGGTGTGGATGGACACAACAGCCAAGGCATAGTCTATGCAAAACCATATGGTACGTCCCAGGGGGTGGTAAAAATAATGATCGTTTTATAAAGCAAAATGAAAAGTTGAAGTGTTCCATTATAAGAACTTTATCCTATTTTCTTCACATTTGATGTGATCTGAGAATTATATGCTGTTATTATATTTTTTTCTTATGTAATATATGAAAATCCTATGCTCTTAAACATTGCCTTGGAATTGCTTTTTTATACAATTTAATTTCTAACTATGTGACAGTGCTTTTATCCAAAACTGGTTTATTTCATTTTTAAGTGAGTTTTCAGTTTTTTTTAATCTTTGAAATTAAGAATATGTATATGTATCTTAATTGTTGAATTGCTTTCTGAGTTAATTTTTAAAGTTCTTCCTAATAAAATTCTAGTCCCTCACTCCCACATGTCAAGCTGTTCTTCATTTATTTTATTCTTCTCCATGTGTTTTTTTAAAACTTTTTAATGTCATTTTAGTGGGAATTGAGCTAATCTTCCATGACAGCTACTTTACATAGTAGGCACTCTCGGTTAATTTATGTTTTACTTAATTGATTATTTAGCAAATAATTTCTAAATTTCTGTTTATTGTATATTTTCCCCTCAAATTAAGCTATAAGAAGAGTCTATTAGAATTAAAATACTGTGTTAAATTGTTCCATTTTAAAATATAGTTTCATTTTTATAAATAATGTACTTAAATATGAACATGCTTTTGGCATGCTTAAATGTACTATAACAATTCAATGTGATGTTAATATTGGTACAATAAAGACAGCATGTCAGTTCCTTAATCATTCCAAAAGAATAGTTTGCATGTTTAAACAACATATTTTTCATGTCATATGCAACTATAAACTGGAAGAGATTAGGCAGTAAGTTTCCTAGCATATAAATTAGGTGATACAAATTAATTTCTTTTAAAGCAATAATGTATATTGTTTTCTTCCTGGGTAGCTTGTAGGGTGATAGATTCAAACATGCATACAGTTTAATTCATCTTTAATTTTTAGAATTTGGTAAGACCACTTTTAAACTTTGGTTAAATTCTATTAAACAGTTATCAAAGATGCAAGCCGAAAAATAACTACTGTAGAATCCACAGCCTTAAATGTTTGGCTATATTTTTCTGGAATAAAAATAAATTTTCATTATAGAAAACATACTCAGTTTAGTTCACCCAATATTTACCGATTATTACATTAGAGGGGTTTTATCAGTAACGAAGATATCACCTCTGGACCCTCTGCAGTAGCACTGGAGACTTCACAGGTGTGACCCAGTTATGACTGGAGGAAGAAGTGTCCAAATGAAAGACTTTTATATCAGAGTGGATGGGTGGCTGGGTATGTGGCCTGAGTAAGGAAAGGAACATTTATAATTATAGAAGATACTTAACTTTGACAATCAATGGAAATGCTCTTTAATAAGAGAAAGAAAGATGTGAGGAACATGAGAAAGTTCCGTTTACTTTTTGAATTGAAGGCATCTATAGTATATTCTTGTAGATGTTAATACAAGATATCCTGAGGTCCTTGTGAAGGTCATTATTCAGAAAGAACTGTTGATTTCTT